AGCCCTAGGTTTATTCTTGTGTTTTGCCCGCCATATACCTGTTTGCCATTGTTTGACCCTGCCTGTTTACCACGTCTCTGAAATAAAGCCTGCAGATGGATCCACATGTCTCACGTCTTGTCAGCCCCATTACAGAATTCAAATAATTAATATTAAAACCATTTTTTACATAATTTTGTTGAGTAGTTATTGATTTGTGTATGTGTACACACACACACACACACACACACACACACAACCATTATTTATTATAATATTTTAATGTATTATTAATATTAATAGTACTATTACTAGAGTTATTGTTGAGTAGTGTATGTGTACACACACACACACACACACACACAACCATTAATTATTTTAATAATATTATTTTAATGTATTATTAATAGTACCATTACTAGAGTTATTGTTGAGTATTGGAATATTAATGTGATAGTATTCATTTCTTCCTTCCGCAAGACGCTTTAATGCAACAGGCTTAGTATGGTATTTTCCCTCCAGTCCACAACCTTAACAGACCTGCAATCCACCAGCTGACAACCACTGCTTTAGAAAACAAAAGCTGTTTGTATCACCGGTACCCTCATATAATGGTATGCCCACACCTCTGATCCCCAAGCGGACAGTAAGAAGGGACAGGTGTTGAGGATTACAGCCCTCAACGGTTCTTGCTCTGTTTGATAACCTGCGAATCCATGCCAGATGAAACAGGTTTTCTGCAAAGCAGGGAAATATAATCTTACACATGAAATAGTAATTCTGTTTGTCTCGTAGACAGCTTGGAGAAGGGAGCCTTCAAATCCGTGCACGAGGAGGTTCAAAGCCTTTCGGCGCTGAGTGCGAATGCTGCCATCTGCATTATGCATATATTTTTCTCTAATTACAGAACGGCTCTGTTGTCGAGCCGAAAATCGAGGTTTCTTGGTCTCGGTGGTGCAATGCATTACAAACCTGCATGCGGTTCACGCTAACAACCCCACCCTTTCCGTCGAAGCGAAGCCTGTTAGAACAATAGAAGCAGAGGAACTGACTGTGGTTCTCACAGGCACTAATCTTCCCTACCTTACCCCTGTAGTCTCATTTTCTTCCTTCAAAACCCTTCCCCCCCTTTGTATGATCATACTTGTTTTTTTTTAGGCTGTTTCTCTTCTCATTCCCTCAGATCAGTCCACAGTCTGAGATGAAATTAGCAGCTGTACCTCACCGAAGTGCTCTGTTGTATTCACACTCGGACACATTACGAACTGTGTCACGGTTGGCACATTTGACTATTGATCAGATGACCTTGACCGTCTCATCGTCCCAGTGTCCTTTCTTGCTTTCTTTGCACTTCACATCAGATCTCGGCTGCTTTTGTGCTGATACCGAGAGTTTTCTGCAGCCTCTCTTTCTACATCAAATGAACGGCGCAGTCACTCTTCGCTCTTGCCTCAGCCCTCCATTTTGAACAAATGCTGAACACAATATCCAATATCTTTTCCTGTGATATGGTGCATTTGGTATCTCAGCAACTGATTCTTGAAGAAGGGATAGATCTCACTGGATAGCGATGCTCGCAGACACACTCACACATGTTCACAAATAAAGTCCTCGCTTTTCACAATCAAAATGCTTATTTTAGAGGCATATTAAGACGTTTTCTAGCAGGATAGAGACTGATTTGGTGATCAGCAACCAGGGCTTGACAATACGGATTTTTTTTTCTGCATGCAGGCAATTATTTCACTTAGTTCATATTTTACTTGCCACATTTTCACTGGCCACACAGCCACAAATATAATACAAATCTGGTTTAGTTAACAATTTAGCTATGTAAATTTATATAAATAAAAAAATGAAGGAGAGGGATGAGTAGAGGGATAAAGCTGATTTATAAAAAAACAAAAACAAAAATACAATCTTTTCATCAGTTGCTGGGATAGCAAATCACAGGAAATGATTTTTGGATATTGCATTCAGCATGTCTTCAAAATTGAGCGCTCAGGCATGAGTGTAGTGTGATAAATATATCAATCATTTGGACTCTTTTAAAGTATATTTATAAAATATAATTATTTATATAAAATTGGCTACAGACTCTACATTAGACCATCATTACTATTGAGTTCTGTCCACTGAAGTGTCTAAATGAAGGAACACACAGTTTTGGGACTCAGGGGATGAGAAAAGGGGGCGCAGGCCTCAGAGCGGGAAAAGCATATGGGTGCGATTTGTTTTTTCACGCAGCACTGGCTCCAGCTGATGATGACTCCCAGTGGTCTGCACCATTGGCCACTGACTTTCTGATCAGCTTCCTACTTCCAAAATCAGACACTTTAAAAAAAATCATATTTAGAATTATACAGAGTTTTGGTCTTAGATGCTGATTGGTTACAGCATTTTATCCCATAGAGGCCACATATTAGCCTTAGTCTACATGTAAGGGACTATATCTACTAGCAGATGGATTCTGCTGTATGAATTTGCACAATAAAATAATATTTTTATCCTGTTTTGTAAAAGCCTTTTGTTTCTTATTGCTTTGGCAGAGCAGCCTTTTTGCTTAGAGAATCTCCCAGTGTTAATTGCTTTGTTTTCTTGACCTGAAATTTCATGGACAAGGGTTCTGTTAATGACTGGAATTGAGAGCCACTCTATGGCCCTCTAAAATAGTTCTGTTTCATAAAAATAGGGCATGAAGAGATGTTTTTTTTCACCCTTGGAAAATGGATAATTTTCAGTTTGGCTTGTTGCACGGTTGAATTCATGTTCATAGAAAAGTGGGATTTTGGTAATTTAAGACATCCAAAATTACTGTAAGCTAAAATTA